AGTAAGAAAACAAGGATTACATGTAGCAACCCATCATTCATCAACAGTTCAATGATATTACCTGCATATATATTGTAAAAAAATTCCCAGAGATCACTTTTTAAATTTGCCAAAGAAAAGTACCTTTTATCAATTGGCATAGAGCACTTGAAATGTAAAAAGTAATTATTTGTTATTCTACCAACAATTATTCCAGAGCATATCAATTTTGTTTTTGGTTCATTCTATTGGGGTTGTTGATGCAGCATGTACATTCCCTGATAAAAAAAATGTGTGTGTGTTGCATACATTAATGTGTAACAACATAACAAATCTGAGTCATATGAATCCTGTACAATATCAATGACAGATCTGGTCAAACTCAACACTGGAATTAAGTTAGAGTTATCTCCCTTCCATCAATGAAATTTGCAGTACTACTATGTTTTTTTAATAAAATAATATTTCCATGAGACAAGACACAAATGATTTTCAGGTTTTAGCATAATGGAACTTGGATTTATCCCCAATAAATCACACAGAATTCATGTATTTGGTCAGCAGTGAAATGATCAGATTTGTTGATGTGTTCAATAACAATGATAAATGATATCCAGTTGTAGGAAAGGCTTAATCATAAATACCTCAAATGGTGTACATGCTGAATATAAAGGTACATACCACTGAGTTCAACAATAAGGTTTCATTGAAGATAGCATTTATCATCATTATCAGGAAATAATGCAGCATTCCTACCTTATACAATAGAACAGTACTAGGTATAAAGCTATATTACTATAGGCAAAACACAACAGTTCAACACTTTGCTTCGCCTTTTTTCAAGTTTAGATAAGTCGTATGTGAACACATTTGTTATGGGGTCCATTCTATCACCATACAGATCCAAGCCTCTAGTTCCAGGTTACAGTATGGCACAACACAACAACACAGTGATTCATTGTTCTCGCACCAAGCCATGCATGACAAAATGTCTGTTATAATCTATGGTAATACATGCAGCAGTCCCCACCATTCTCATGAATATACAACAGGTACACAAAGCAATTGGTTGTGTCATAAACATTACGACATCCTACAAATTATAATTAAAAACACTATCATCTTATGATACGACGTTAGCACTAGACAACTTTAAGTTGTAAAATGAAAAATAAAAAATGAGATTCTAGTGTAAGTTTGTGTGTTGACTTATCAACAGTGCAGATGGAAAAAGGAAACATTTAAAAAAGAAATAACATTTAACACTATCATACTGACATTTCAATGATTCAAATAAACCACTGATTTAAAACATGAAAACCATCAAGCATATGACGATATCTTAGCTATATCATGTAATGCTTAGATCATTTAATGAACATTATTTTCACCGGAGAAGCAAAATTTCTCATTTATAGGGCCCCTTCTGACATTTACATGAAATCTAATAAAATTACAACACTTGATATCTACCTTAGTGACCTTGTGAAGGTCGAGAAGACAAAAAACAAATTAGGCTATAACAATACACTGATACAGTTTGTACATGGTACAATATACAGTTTAAATATAGATTCTTGATAAAACAAAACATTAATAACAAGCAGTATCAACAATAATAACAAAATAGAAGCATAACCGATTTCACTTACAAGTAAATGATATAACACTTACTGTGACAGCACTCTTTAATCAACTATTAAATGGTATTAAATATTTTAAGTGATTTCAATTTCAATTTTAATATTAAACAACAATACCTTTAAGCCAGAGTAAGAATCTGCCTGCTGAGGATCGAAAATGACTTTTTGAGAGTGAACATGTTTTGACTATATTGTAGTCACATTATGAAATACATCTACATGCTTTGACTGTTTCATACAATTATTCAATCCTATAATTCCTTTCCATAATTTTGACATGGCAGCTAGAAATTAATATTGAATGCCAAGAAATGTCTTTGACCAATCAGCTTGGAGACAACAGAGCTGACCAATCAGATGATTTATGGGTGGCCAATCAGCTGCGAGGGGAGTGGAGTACCTGTGAGGACATGTGCTGGTCATACATGGATGATGACGAGGAGCTGTGTAAGTTGTCACTACTGTACCCCCCTGTCTGGGCGATCACGTGCCGCAATGCATTCACCTGGGGATAAATCACACACACACATCACATACATGCAAATGTAACTGTGCAAGCAAACACTAACAAAAGTCGTCTCCTCTTGATCTTATTTGGCCTGAAAACGTTACGTCCTATAGTTATAATATTCTCTAGCTGCCTGACACAATAAAGGCCAAATTTAAACACATGATATAAGTATATGATGTTCCTACTCCTTAACTAAAACGTATGCTACTTGTAATGCCTGATATCATTTTCTTATATATATTATTGATTAATGATATTTATCACGAGAAGATTCAGAAAAGGATGATTGGTGACCAAATTTTTGGGGGGAGGTGATTGTAAGATCTTTAGTTTTTGTGATATTCCCAGGGTTCTGAATACTATATCTGGTAAAGAGCCATATTATTTAGCTGGATAAGAAAACATGTGTCCTTAATATTGTATGTACATGTTCTGATGTGCGTGTGCGTGTACGTGTGTGTGTAGTTTTTCTAACAGTAATACGAAACAGTGACTTTCCTTCACATACCCACATGTGAAATGTACGTTTTAAATGATACTTCCATTCAAGGGAGACAAACATGAATTTTTTGTGATGACTGCTGATGAAAAGTTCAGTGCTTGTTTGATACTTTACTATTTAAGACAAAGTTGTTTTTGTTGTCATCACAAAATTTCAACAAAAAGCTAGTTTGTTTTTAGTTTAATTGCAACTAACATTAAGTAAATATCATTGTCTTTCTATCATGAATATTATTACAATGTAAAACCAAATATTTTTTTGCGACTCAAACTTTATGGTTTTACAAAAAATAGGCTTTTGTTGGCACTTGATTTCATAGATAAGCTTTTCCATGAGATTCACTAATTCTATAATCTATATCAATTTTTATTAAAAGTACCCACAAATATAAAAATATCTGCCCCCGAAAATTAATAATGATCAGTATTCTTGAACCAGCATAACTTTTTTTTATAGATTTCATTTCACACAATTTCTTCCTTGTTGCAGCAGACATTTTATACTCTTTATTTTTTTATTTATTTTATGTCGCTTTTATAAAAACATAACTGTTTACCCTATAGAATGCATGCAATATAAAGATTAAATTCATGCCATGATGCTGGACTTGGCTATATCTAGTTTCTGTACATATGTCGTCCTTTAAATCTGAAACAGACAATACTCTCCAACTACCAACTAATGCTATATTTTGATTCTGTAAAAATATCCACCATTAGATCTGAAACAGACAATATCATATGGACAGTGCCATTTACTGCCTGTTGGTCTAACAATATAAAAGTCTCTCTTATACTTAGTAAAGGATGAAAACTGTATACAAACAAAGAGATTTTAACTCTGTTGTCAGTATATATTCAACGCTGATAATGGTTTTGTGTTGTTGTTTTGATACACTCTCCTTTTTCTTCAAGGACACATTTCTTCAATCTACATTTCTTGCAGTAAGATTTAAATGTTCTTTCAAATGTGGCAAAACACAAAATTCTAACCAAAATATTTACCCTAGGTTTCATCCAACACCCTTATCTTCTGATCGTCTTTTTTTATAACGCTATGCCTTTGCTATTTTCACTAGCATTTCTGTGTAATTCTTAAATCTGAATCTGGTCCAAGAACTGCCATTTAACAATCTAGTCAATCCCAACATGAGAACAGTTTTATAGTACTGGTAATTCACTGTAACTACAATATAATATATAATTATGTCGTACCTGGTAATTCACAGTAACTACACCATAATATATAATTATGCCGTACCTGATAATAACTGTACAGAACACGAATATCTTGTGAAGCTATTCTGTGTATACATAACAATCATGCTCATGCTAACAAAATTTAACATTAAAGCATGCTTACTTAACAATAGTAATCATAGCCACAAATGCCAAAACACAACATCAAACATTCTAGGTCATCAATGGCCTGATTTGATTTGTAACTGGGATTTATCATCAAACCCTGTCTAGAGGTTAAGGTCAAACAGAATACTGCAGGCTCAAAACAAGAAAAAGGGTCAGACAGCCAGTCATTCAACTGAAACTGGGCCTCTAAAGTTTGTAAATATTGTGCTTTAGAAGGGGGTTGTCAATGGCGAATATTGAAGGTTTGTCCTTCATTACCAATGGTAAAACTGCAGTATGAAATAATGTGTACACTGGTATAGTCAGACCATTAGACAGACTGCTATTTCTGGGATCAAGGTCACACCATCTTAAACACTTTGATGTCTCGGGTCAAGGTTTGGGCATCAAACATACTTTTATGTCTGCAGTAAAGGTCTGATTACAAGTCTGCTGAGCTGGACTTCTATGTCTGGAGCTGTTAGTCAGGCTATCATAGTTATACTTTTATGTCCAGGGGATAAAGTTGAGTCATCATAACAATATAACTTTATGTGAAGTGGTCAATGTAAAGCCATTATGGTTACTTTTGTGTCAAGGGGATAAGCTGAGTCATTATAATTAGTATAACTCTATGTCAAGGGGTCAATGTCAGGCTCTTAGAATAAGGCTCAATGTCGGGCAATCAGAGTTAGACGCTATCTCATGGGTGAACGTTAGGCTATTAGATATAGATATATATGTCTGGGGTGAAGGTCAGACTATCAGAAATAGACTTCCATTTCCAGGGCTAAGGATAGGCCATCAGAGTTAATTTTGTTCAGGTCAAACATTTAACTCAATATGTGTCAAGGTGAGGGACACATAAGAGTTAGACAAGAAGGACCAGGACGTCAGATAAAGTCTTGTGTCATGGATGGAATATGGGTTCAAACTGTGTGAATGATTAGATGTTCCTACATGAAGCTACAATTGTTGTAATGAAGGTTGGGTTTGGACTGATGTGTCTAGACTCCTACCGAGTTATCGCTGCTTTGGTAGTTGTCTCCGTTGAGGTTCATGTACATGCCGCTGCCCTGGCCTCCGATGCCTCCCTGTGATGATCCCAAGTTATAGCCAGCAGCTCCACCTGGTGGAAAACAAAACTTCATTGTAAGACCTTCCCAACAAACACATTTCAAAAGTTTCTCAAGTTCTCAATTAGAAAGTTATAAATGTTTCCAGGCTCTACAAATGAACTGATTTTGTTAGCAATCTTACAACTGGTATCACTTCACTAATATTCATATATATGTTATAATACACACTAGCCCAGTTCTGAGTTGTTTTCTATCGTACATAAATTTCATCAGTCTATCACAATTTGTTTTCACAAGAACTTTCCATTGGTCAGTGTGTGATCTACCACCAGGTCTGATCCATGTACTGAAAACATGCTGTAAATATACTGTTGTACATGTATCAAATACAAGCTGTAAATATACTGTTATACAACATGTATCAAATACAAGCTGTTTGTAACTGTTGTAAAACATGTATCAAATACAAACTGAAAATATACTGTTGTACAACATGTATCACATACAAGCTGTAAATATACTGTTGTAAAACATGTATCAAATACAAGCTGTAAATATACTTTTGTACAACATGTATCAAATACAAGCTGTAAATATACTGTTGTACAACATGTATCAAATACAAGCTGTAAATATACTGTTGTACAACATGTATCAAATACAAGCTGTAAATATACTGTTGTACAACATGTATCAAATACAAGCTGTAACTATACTGTTGTACTACATGTATCAAATACAAGCTGTAACTATACTGTTGTACTACATGTATCACATACATGCTGTAAATATACTGTTGTACTACATGTACTTTAAATACAGACAATAAGTATAATTTATATTGTAATAAGCTTGAACATTTTGATTAAGTAGACTCATACTTCATTTTGCACTTAAACGAACACCTCATCATGAATATATTTTCCTTCAGGTAAATACCACACATTTGCATTATCTTGCGGCACCTAACATCTGTTTATGTAAATCATGTATATTAAAACCCATCCAATTGTGTAATTGATATAAACATAACCAACGATGTTTATTTAAATAGATGTTTTAGATCATACGCCTGGCAGCAAAGCTTAAAAGCATTAGCCCAGTACATTTCACAACTATTTTCTGATCTTGATCACAAAGGCTGTGACAATTTGAGAATGGACACTCTCTTCAGCTATGTGCAATTGTAGCCTTAATGTAAAACTGGATACACAAAGAAACCAATTTGTGTGTATTGATTATAGCTGTGTTTTCATGCTGCATTACAGAAGGGAAACTGTGAAGGAAAGACCAACAAGAAATTTCCAACCCAATCATTCCTCTTTATATCTCAAAAGAATATTCATTCTTCTACTCAATATGCCACTAAAGAGTATCCATCCTTCACCCAATATACCACAAAACAGTATCCATCCTTCACCCAATATACCACAAAACAGTATCCATCCTTCACCCAATATACCACAAAACAGTATCCATCCTTCACCCAATATACCACAAAACAGTATCCACCCTTCACACAATATACCACAAAACAGTATCCATCCTTCACCCAATATACCACAAAACAGTATCCATCCTTCACCCAATATACCACAAAACAGTATCCACCCTTCACACAATATACCACAAAACAGTATCCATCCTTCACCCAATATACCACAAAACAGTATCCATCCTTCACCAAATATATCATAAAGTAGTATCCAATCTCTATCCCAATACATCTCCTACCTACATACCACCAATCTCTATCCCCATACATCTCCTACCTACATACCACCAATCTCTATCCCCATACATCTCCTACCTACATACCACCAATCTCTATCCCCATACATCTCCTACCTACATACCACCAATCTCTATCCCCATACATCTCCTACCTACATACCACCAATCTCTATCCCCATACATCTCCTACCTACATACCACCAATCTCTATCCCCATACATCTCCTACCTACATACCACCAATCTCTATCCCCATACATCTCCTACCTACATACCACCAATCTCTATCCCCATACATCTCCTACCTACATACTACCTATCAATATCATCATCAAGTACACAACAGCACAAAGAGTAAAACATAATATTACTTGCTGCTTAATATCACCAGAAAAGGAAAAACTTTCTACAACCTTAGCAAATCCCAAATTTTACAAACAATTATAGAATGAAATCCTAACATCAAATAAAAGGCATCGTTGCATTTCTTTTGAAGAGAAGCAGTAACACAAGTAAGTTTTATCTGTGTTGTACCTCACCAGCGTGGTTACCATAGAAACAACACACACAGCTTTCTATATCTCTATTCATCATCACTAACACCAGACAACTTCACCCACGACCTTCACCACAGCCTCGACCTTGACATTACCTTATCCTTTCCAGGTAGCCAATGCTGTGGGACCTTAAGAGACTCACACAAAGTGTTTTTTATGATACCAGTATCTAGGTGAACAAGATCCTACATATTACCCGGACTTTCTACAGGTCTATACCCTTTAAAATAACAGCTGTCTATATCAATTCTACGTAAGTAAACACAGGGTCAACGATATATGTATGTTATCTCAAGGAAGTATTTTCAGAGGAATATTAATCTAATCATATCTTGAGGAATATTGTATATATTCATACATATTATATCAATTTTGCCACGAGTGTAGCAGCCCAATACAGTCTCAAAATGTCAGGAAACTGGGTTATTCCAGGGCAACAAAATACACAATTACCTTTTATTGGTATTTCTACCAAAATCACAACAAATGTAGGTTGTCTTATTACCAGGCATGGGCTTATTTCAAAGCATAGACTCATTTCAAAGCATGGACTTATTTCAAAGCATGGACTTATGACCAGGCTAGACTTATTTCAAGACATGGATTTATTTTATGACTAGGCTAGACTTAATACCAGGCATGCACTTATCACCTGATTAATGTGGAATATTCACTGTAATATGTATTCTTCTTTTCATATTTAGATACATTTTCTTAAATCACTAGTGTTTGTTCATGATTTAAGACTTTAAGTTCCTTTCTAATTCAGAAACCCACTGATCACCTCAAATGTGTACTATAGAAAAGGTCTTGTCTCTGGCAGCCGAGTACAAATCCAGAAATAAGTCATATCACCAGTGCTATACATCAGTAGAACTAGAACTCAACACATTAAAAACACTGAGGAAATGAATAAAATCTGTCGTTGGTATTTATGTACTCAATAAGAATTATTTGAAGGCCTTTAAGGTCAGGAAAAAAATTCCGATTAAAATCAGTTGTGTAAGAAACATCATTCCCATAAACGTCACAAATTCTTGTTTTTACAGACTGTTTATATGCCTTTTGGTCGATCGTTCTATTATCTTGGGTCTGAGAAATAATCTAGTCAAATACTGGATTCACAGAAGTCTACTCCAATGTAAGGGAATGTTATTAAATCACACAGTATAATACATTACTGCAGGTCTCACGACTTCACTCCCGATTTACTACACCACCAATGCACTGTACAAACACTACACCAAAAGTAATGATACGCTAGTGGCCGTGCGGGTTGTTGAAGTCAGGTTTAGCTCGACACTTGGAACACAAACAGCAGCAGAACTAAAATATTCTCCCTAATACAACTTTATCTTTTGAGCTGATTATAAGAAATCTTCACATTTTGATAGAAAGGTCAACTAAAACAAAATATGTTCAAAATGATTTTGTAGTCTGTCGTTAAGCTGAATAAGATACAAAATGATCTTTATTTGTAGTTCTACAATAAAACCATAAAATTTTGCCCTAAAATTTTAATATCAGTCAATTTAGTAAAACAATTTAGGTGTCAACTGTAAATGATTGAATGGCAGGGCTGTGTACAAATAAACAATAATCAATAACTCAAACTGACAAATCCCTATCTAGATGCCAACCAACATTTGGGGCAATCTAGAAAATCTGAAACTAGGCTCCTTCATTTTTACATTATATTTAACACAGATCTCTGGGAGAGTCCATTATTGTCGCAGGAAATGCTGTGATGTGAAGTCTGTACCAAAATAATATATTAAACATATTTCACTTCTTAACAAGAATGCCTGTGTTCAAGTGCTAGTATTTCATATTATATATATCAGCACATGGAGAAAAAGAAATGGAATTCTATTAATCATTATTTCTCATTCATTTAACAGGTGGAGGAATATAAGACTTGCTGAAGATGGGGGACACTACTGATATATCTCACTAACAATGGAGACAATATCATACATCACTACTGATATATCTCTCTGACAATGGGGACACAACCATACATCTCTACTGATATATCTCTCTGACAATGGTGACAGCACCATACATCTCTACTGATATATCTCACTGACAATGGTGACAGCACCATACATCTCTACTGATATATCTCACTGACAATGGGGACAATACCATACATCTCTACTGATATATCTCACTGACAATGGTGACAGCACCATACATCTCTACTGATATATCTCACTGACAATGGGGACACTACCATATTTCTCTACTGATATATCTCACCGACAATGGGAACACCACCATACATCTCTCCTGATATATCTCACTGACAATGGTGACACTGACAATGGGGACACCACCATACATCTCTACTGATATATCTCACTGACAATGGTGACAGCACCATACATCTCTACTGATAAATCTCACTGACAATGGGGACACTACCATACATCTCTACTGATATATCTCACTGACAATGGGGACACGACCATACATCTCTACTGATATATCTCTCTGACAATGGGGATACCACCATACATCTCTACTGATAAATCTCACTGACAATGGTGACAGCACCATACATCTCTGCTAATATATCTCACCGACAATGGGAACACCACCATACATCTCTCCTGATATATCTCACTGACAATGGGGACACCACCATACATCTCTACTGATATATCTCACTGACAATGGTGACAGCACCATACATCTCTACTGATAAATCTCACTGACAATGGGGACACTACCATACATATCTACTGATATATCTCA